TTACTGGCTCGCTATTCTTATTTCACATTTACTACAAACAAGAAGAATATTATTTGAATTATCTATTGCCCTACCACAAGATAAAAGTTGGAATGCATTTAAAACAACAGTTATGACCGTGGTGCTTACGAAAGAATATGTAAAGAGTTTAATGTAGACCCTCATTCAGATTGGAGACAAAAAATGTATAAAAGTGGAAATGGTTTAGGATTAGTTCACACAACTAGTCACTCTGCATGGAAACGAACTGATTTTAGACATGATTATTCTTCAAAACATATTTCTAGCAGCACATCATCTGATTTAGATTTTTCTAAAATGACATTCGCACCTGAAGTGCCAGGTGGAAGAAAATGTGGTATTTCATCATGCGAATATCTTCCACCAAAGAAAATTCATATTGATTATATTCAACAAGAAGATGATGTTAAGGATGTTTGGGACCACATTTATTCTCGATACTTCAAGAAGGTTTTACGAGATCAGGTGTTCAACGGATTAACGAATCCATAAGAACCTATGCTGGGCTATTCTTGGTTCACTGAATCTCAAACAAGAAACTGATATACTCGGAACAGGAACAGCTTTTTGATTGCGCAGAAACACATTTCTTGCAAACGCTTTGAGGATGCAATTAATAGTCCTCCGTAGATTTGCCGAGTCAAATTAAAAGATATCAAAAATACATTAAAATATGCCAGAAGTAAACTTGATTATGTTTACGAAATTGGTTTGTACATGTCTCCTAGTAATATGGAATTAAGAATTGGAGAAATACAAAATTATAATAATAAAATTATAGTAGCAACTGATTATCAAAAGCTCGGATTGAATAATGATGTTAATATTCAACCAATTCCAACAATTCTACATACAGAAATTAAAGGAACGCCAACAAAGAAATCTTTACCAGAACCTAAAGAAATAGCTAAATCTTTAGTTAAAGTGTCAGATGGAATAGAAAAAAAAGAAAAAAATATATCAATAGAACACGAAGATAAAAAAACAGCATTAATCGTCGGTAGTATAGTAATAGGTATTATTACATTTTACTTTTTACGAATATAATTTTTTCGGATACCTATATATCATTTTTTTATTTTTTAGGGGTGTGGGTCCGAGTCCCGCCGGGGATAAAAAATTTTTTTTTTTTTGGGCGGGTACTATAATTATCATGATTTAAGCATTTCTGTACTTTTCAATTTGAGGGTATAACGGGATGATATTTTTTTTGGGGGGGGGGGGGGTGCGCTAGACTCGTTCAATACTTATACTACTGACGCCCACTTAAACTTATTTTTGATAAAATATTAAATTGAATTGCTAATTTGTTTGCATACATAATTCTTCAAAATTACACAATTGCGTCAAACAAAACTTTTTTACAGTTTTTTAACTAAATTTTGACTATTATTGATTTTTTTTCCATTTTTTCTTCTTCTAGCCAAATATTAGTATTCGCGACACACCTTTGCATCTATTCGCGTGAACTGATAATGACATTTAGATTTGATTTGCTTTATTCGTCCTAAATCACCTCTAGATGTTTCTATTGTTATACATAAATTGTAAGTTTTCAAAATAAAAATGATAACCTGTAAACATTGTCTTTAAATCAATTTAGTCAAATGCAACTCCGACATCTAAGATGGAATTTTTTTATGTTTTTTTTAAGTATTGACTAATACCGTCTTTTGGTTGACAAAATTAAAATGCCTACAAACTCTGAAAAGGATCAAGCGTCGCAGTAACATGTTTGTCTATAAAAAGATAGAAGAAAATCAAAAGAAGGGAAGTAAGGTCCATTAACTAGTATGACAGAGTTCTGTATCACATTGTTAATACTTTTGACATAATTACATGATAATTAATTGGATCTTCTTAACTTTTATCTAATTGATTGAAAATTTGTATCGTTATATCGAAAGATAATTATCGACGATATATCGAATTCAATAGCCTGTTCATTTGAATATGTGTATCAAACTGTTATCATGGTGTGTGCAAGCATGTTTTGTACATTATAAACACAGACTACCAAAAGAAAGTAAATTGAGTTAGCTAAACAAATTGTAGCTTAAGTCGATGAAAAGGTTTGTTTAAAATGCAATTGTCCTATTAAAAATTTGAATGCGTTATCTTGTTGCATTTTCTTGTGAATTGATACATGTTCAATGTTAATTTGTTTTGGGAATAAGATTAGCAGGTATTTCAAATATACTTATCTTTGTTAATTGTCTCCTAAACAGTGTACATACACTTGCTTTTTGGTATCATATCATAAAGAATTTACATGTACAGCATTTAATTCCCGTACAATTATTTAACAAAATAAATAAATAAAATAAAAAAACGCTATAAATTTTTTATTTATTTTCAAAAAATGTTTTTTTTTTAATCAAATATAAATTTTCATTTAGAATTCTTAGATTAGTAGTATTGTAACTATTAATAAATATATTACTGATTTGTTTACATTGTATTATAATATAACATTAGATATTTTGAAATGCGTTTATTTTTATTTTAAACATGTTAGTTTGTTTTGATTTTTAAACAGAATAGTATGCTTTGATTTTAATTTTGATTTTAAACAGGTTATACCCCTATTCTATTAAGCACTTTATTTTGATTCCTGTTCTGTTGAATTTCTGTTCTGTCCAGCACTTGATTTGATAACAATTTCTGTGCTTTGCATGTGACCTGTTATCCACCCCAAGAATGAAATCTTCTGCTCTCCGATTTAGATTCTTTATCATTCAAACGACCTAATCTGCCAACTGCGCTAACGAGCGTGTCAAATGCCCCATTGCTATTCCAACCTCGTTTTGCTTCTTTCGTCGAGACTTGCTTATATTCCGGCAATTTCAAATGATCAATTAATTTGAGCAATTTTGACAAACCCGGCGTTGCATACTTTTCAATGTCGTCTGCTTTAAATTCATTCTTGGAAACAATTTGATCACCTGATTCAGGCATTTCTATTATAAACTGTTCATCGTCCATTAGCGGATAGAGTGTGTCTTTATTCAGATAGTCAGACGATAGAAATGGGTTTATTTCACGAGTTTGCTCGTTTTCAATAGCGGATGTTTGTTCATGCGTTTCCGGAGACAATAGTAGCCGTAAGATATTGTCCCAAACATTGTCTGCTTGTACGTCGCTACTTGTAAAGCCATTCTGAAAAAGTTCGTAGTCATTTCTGTTTGGTAAAGCGTTCACATAATTTTTCGACAGCATGGTGAATATTGCCGTAAAGCAAAACGTCATCAATGTAAGCATGGTGTCGTATGGCATGTGTCGTCTGCTTGGAGAACGATTTATCTGTCAATAAAAATGCATTATGCGTATTAGTATTGTGAAAATGCAGAAAGAATATAATTCAGATACTAAAACATAAAAGTAAAGCAACTGAAAACTGACAAAATTTGGGAAAAAACCAAAAACAAAACAAAAAACAAACAAACAACAACATTGGTTTGGTATTACATGCGTAATAATCAAAACTAATACTATTCCAACAAAATTAAAAACTGACCAATAAAAATATAATGTGACATTCATATTTCACAGGAAGTAATGACATTCATATTTCACAGGAAGTAATGACATGCATATTTCACAGAAAGTAACGCATACAAGAAAAATGTGGAAACAGAAAAAACAACAATCATATCAAAAAACCACTATGTAGTGACAATGACTTATTTCTGGCGGGTTCAAATAACGACATTGTTGTTATGAATACAAATAAGGATGGGGGACAAACACGTTCATCCCTGTTGACATGTTGGATAAATGTTGGATCAACGTACTGTCATGGTAGACGTGTTGCCGCTTTGATTTGGAAGCGTAGAAACCATGGAAAGGTTAGCGAGAAGAGGTGTCATTTATTACAATAAAACAGACATTCTTTTTATAGTATTTTCGATTCAAAGCCTCCATAAATAAAACAAATAGACCTATCTAATTGAACCAAATATTATTAGAATCATGAGCAATTCACAAATTGGCATTATTTAAAGTAAAAAATATTTTTTTCGTTGGCTGAATATGTCAAATATGCTGAAGGAATAATTTAAAGTTAATCAGTACGAGCTTATGACTAAAATTCAAAGCAGCGAGAAAAAACCCCCCACAAAAACAACAACAACATCAACCATGAACAATATTAGAATATATGCATATTTACAAATATAACGAGCACATAAAGGTCAAAGATTTGTTATTATATTCTAAAGTGATAACATTGTGTTTGTCAGAAAAAACAACATTTTTTTACCAATTTACTTACCGCGCGGAAATAATTATGATTTTTTTATTATTGTCTTGTAATTGGACAAACAGTCATTTTAAAACATCAATAATTAAAGAAAATGATACGTTGGAAATACTTGAATGTTTCAAATGCATTTAATCACGTATCCTTAGGAATGTGTCATTTTTGATACTCTCTACAAAATAGACTTGCTTACAAGAGTTAACCACTTTATAAACTTGTCCTAAAAGATATTCAAGCTGATAGTTCAAAGAGTTCAAAATAATCTCATATTAACTATGTCCATAACTGCTGGTAGCTTATACAGAATGGTGATTTTTATTGTGAGAAGAATTTTTTAAGAACCCTTTTAATCTTTAACATTTATACCATAACTTAATATATCATGTATAAAAATATAATCAGAATGTGATATTTCCATACGTGTACAACTTTTTTTTAAACGTTCAGATTAATCATTTACTTGTTGTACCTGAAAGTGATTAGCCTTTGTCACAAGTATAGAGCCTGACCAGCTATCACATCAGTGTATCCTGACCAGATTTTATACTGTTGATGCCTCAGTTTTTTAATTTTGTTTTTAGTTTTTGTTTGTTTGTGTTTTTTACACTGAATTCCCCTAAAATTTAAATGTATTTGTCCAAATTCAAAGCTAGACAAATTTATCACACAAGTTAAGCAGGTACAGGGGTAAAATTTCTATTTTGTAAGATTACTGTTCGGTTTTATTGAGACTATATCCATGTAAATTAATTCCTGCCAACAAGAACCCTTAATGGCATAAGGAGTTTTTAAACTATACACGAACGTGTGCAGCTATGAAGATCATTAAACTGCTGGTAAAAAACTTCTTAAAATCATACAAATTAAAAGAAATTTGAACTTTAAAATATTCTGAGCAGTTCAGATAATAAAACATCTTAAGTAGTCTTTTTTTTCGGTTTTGAAAACAAAGGGTGTAGGTGAAAACATTTCTTTTACCTTGCAACTTGTAGTTATTTTGATAAAAAGTATATCAAAAAGTCACCGATTCTAGAAAGACAAACAATGTTTGACACAATGCTGTACGCATATTAACAGCTTAAGTGAAATGGTTTTGTAAAGTTCATGAAAATGAATATTTTATAATAAGCAAAATCAAAGCAAAACAAAAAATAAGCAAAACAAAGAATAAGCAAAGCAAAAGAAAGCAAATCAACAAAAAGGCAATACAACAAAACATAACAAAGTTATAACACTATAATACAAGATGGCTTGACTATAATAGTGGCACAGGTTTGTTAATAAATAGCTTTATACTGTCTCATAAAAAAATATCACAGCATACAAATTAGTAAATTAGTAAAACATTAAAAAAAAAACAAAACAAAAAACAAAACAAAAAACATACAAATAAAAACAACACTTCACACATGATTCATCTTGGCAGTAAGATTACAACTACTGTCCTTCAATAAAAATAAAGCCTTTAAAAAGAATGAAAATAAAAAGAACTCGGTAATGATAAATATCTTAGAAAAAATATATATAACTCTGCACGTGACGAAAGTACAAAAATCATATCCTTATACACACGTATATATAATATATAAGTTTTTTTAATCTTTTTTTTTTGCTCAATAATGCATCTTGCTTTTTATTCTTTAAACAATTACTGAGAACTCGTTAAAAGCTTCAATCAAAGAAACCTTATTTTTGATGCTAAAACATTTCCTACATTTTATAATTTAGATTTAGAAAGGTGTATGTAACTGATTCCATCACCCTAATCCAGTACAAGGTTTTTAGATCGTATTATTTGATATCTAAAAGCACTTCAGACTGAAGACCCTACGTCAAAACACGACAAACGACACATTCAAAACTGGTGTTATAATCGGATATAACTGAATAGTCTTCAGAACAATGATTAGAAGTTGTGACCATTAATTTTTTGTCGAGATCATTTAAAGACATAAAAGCCCAAAATTATTTTGATACAAATGACATAACGGGTTTCCATCCTTATCTAAACCCGTTTAAGTTCACATGTCGATTTGAAATATAATTTTCCTTTAAAATATCAAAAAATTTAAAATTGATGTTAAAAATTTGCATGTTATTTTTAAATTTTAAAATTCATTGAAATTTTAAACATGGAAATAGTTTTTTGTTTATTCATTACTCAAAACTGAAATTATTTTTCCCTATAAAAAAGGGGTTTTTTTAACTATTCTTTCTTAAATTTTTAATTTTATTGCATTGTACTGTTTTAAATCTTTAGTATTCCAAAAAAAAGCTTTTTTTTTTAAAAAAAAGTCATCTCCCTTTGGGTTTTTTTTGTAAAATGATAATTTTTTATTTAAAATAAATTTTTTTTTCAATTAAAAATAAATTTGTGTAGCATTTTTTTCTTGCTTATATTTTTTTCTTATATGACGAAATAAGAAAAATAAAAACTTATGCTATGAAAATTTTTGAAACTTTGCTTAACGTTTTCTTATCATTATAATAAGACTATCTTTAAAACAAATTTCACTTCTTATAAAGTAACCCTTAAAATCAGGCTTATTTGAAAACATTTACTTTAATAAGTTATTCTTTAATACTAGTATTTTAAATGAATTCGCAACCTATTCATATTTTTTTGGACAAAATTATATCATACTGAATAAGAATATACTAAAACTATAGATGTTGTGTTGGAGATAAAAAAAACATACAAAAATTAATATTCAAAAATTAGAACGAACTTATTTTTTTCAAAATGATATATGTGATTAATGGACAGAAAGGTTTATAATGCCGCTTAAAAATAGATCAATTCATTACAATATTGCCATTGCAATAAAAACGAAAAGTTTTTTACCAGTTACTATAAGAAAGTAAATGTTTTCAACATTACTTTATATAGCTTTTTGATAATTTGTTTATGTATATAAAGCATTTTTAGATTTGACGGATAAAACATCCATTAAAATTAATTGCAATTAAATTCTCTATAACTATAAAAACTAACAAATTACCTAGAGTAATAAAAAGATCCCAAAGGCTGTCTATATCCAATAAAACGAGTTTGAAGGAATGAAAGCTTTCATTATACGATTAACTCTTTATCAACAGTTCCTGTAACATCGCATTTAGGCCAAGGAAAATGTCCAGTAAAATTGTTTTACGTCCCATATGTTTACTGTATAGGAAAATGTATGAAATTGCTACTGTAACTTTGATTTAGGTTGTTTTTATCTTAAATCATAAGTATGTACCAGGTTAAAAATGAAAACGGCTATTTATTATTGAAATAGTTTCAATATATTAAACAGCAGGTTTTAAAATCACTATGTTGAAAATTATAAAAAATACTTTATATACCAACATATACACTTCTAAATGATTCTGAATAGGAGTTAAGTTAGTGTTGTTAATTTTTTCTGGTCCATTCGGGTCATTGTTTCAAGCACTTTCAACTGTTGAAAATTGAGTACCACAGGAGACGTGAGGGATGTTGCACTTTTTCATTATCCCTCATGTACAGACTCTGACCAAGTCTGTATTTTTCATGCAATTTTGCTGTTTTGATGCTTCCGAGGGATCACCTTTTCCAGATATTTAAGATATTATTCTGACAAACTGCAATTCATTTCAAATTTGTTAAAAATCTATTTTTTGTCTCAAAACAAATAACTTGGAAAAATATTTGAATTGAGAAAAAATCCACTTATAATGAATTACCATGTTTTCTAATATATCTTTATATCGTCATATATGTAGATATTATCAAGAAATACAATTCCTTTTTTTTCCATATACTATGTTTGATTTGGTTTTACGTCATTACTGGTAAACCTGTATTTAACACTGAAGTAAATAATCATGGAGCTGAATATAAGCATGTATATTTAAGAATAACAGAATATTAAGGGGAGCGGTGGCCTAGTGGTTAAGGTGTCTGCCTCTCAACCCAGAAATCATGGGTTCGGGCCCTAATCAGGTCACGACCATGTTTCTTCATATGACACCAGTACTGGTTGGTTCCAGGAAGCGGACTCGAAAGTGATTAATATAATTTGCAAGAACTTGTTTCGCAATCGAGCTAAAATAAATATGTTTAAACCAACAGAATATTAGAAATCTTCGACCAATCGGGAACTATTTTTTTCGTTACGAAAATTAATGAGCCTGTCAATTGGCAATCTTTACGCAGTGATCTCCCCTTAATTTTTCGGCGTTAATGTACATATGAAGGGAAGTAACCGCTTCGAGGAGTTTGGACTACTTTCGGCATTTGCAAATAAGAACACCAGAGTCTGAAATTTCGCTACCATTATTTGTTTGGTCTGACGACTTAAACAAATAAAAATGAAATTAAAATATATTGAAACATGATATCATAAACATAATAAAATTGATACAAACACATCTGTCGATACTGCTTTTATTATTTATCATTCTTATATTTAGTAACATGCTATTTTTAAAATGCGAATAGCAGGGTATATTCAGAAAAAGGATGCAGAACAATTCATATAGAATATTGAATGATCGCTCTTAAAATTGCCACTGAGAAGTTATTCTACAAACGTTTTCAAACCTAGGTTCAGTGTGAACAGTTCGATTCACCTAAACTCAAATCATACTTGAACATGTTGAATAAAGAGTCTTATTCTTTCTATATTCGTACATGCACAAAGAACGTCGCTTTTGTCATGGTTGTTACCCTTCCCGATTCACTCACAAACAAACCATTTTCTCTGGAGACACGATACCAATTTTAGTAGTGAAATTTCAGTGACTATAGATTTGCTTTGGAAAAAAGACACTGAAAACCACACATTTAAATAATCTAACTTAAAACAAACAATTCATATACCGTCATGTATGGGTCACCTTAAAACCACATAACAAAAGCATGTGTCATCAAAAAGGAAATCCTATTATTATCAATTTCCTACAACCACACATATAGTTCCTATTTACCATTGGCCTTTGTGTCACAAACGCGTGGAGGTATTGTCGCATAAATGACAGCAGACGATAATGTTTCCAATAACTCAATCAAAGAGAACCCGCCGAATGAAACCTTTACATTTCCCACCATTGTGGGCAAGACAAAAGCCAGAACTAACAAGTTGTGAAAGCAGATTTGTTAAGAATTCAAATTACGAATGCCTTCGTTGATTTATAATATCTTTGTTTACAATGCTAATGGGTCCCGTCAGGGGCAATAGAAAGTCCTAGAGAGGTGTACCGTAAGCTGTTGTTTTCTTGTCATTATTTCATGGAGGGGGAACAATAACTATTTACATTAATGACGAGTTCAAGTGATCAAAATGTAAAAATGTTATCAATAAATACATTAAAATGTATTAATATCATAAATATGCTTTTTTTAAATTGTTCTAAAAGCTAGCTACTCTACAGACTGATTAAAGCAACAAGTCGGGATTTCATTCTACTTATTTTGTCACAATTTATTGTAATTTACTTAAATTGTAAGACTGCGTTTTTTCTCGTTTTTTTTTAATTGTATGCGAAAAATGTGCTATTTTAATTTGTCATGTCCACTAAAAAGCAATTTTATTTGTGAGCATATTTATCAAAAATGAACTCGACGTAAAAAGTAAGAATTGAATTCTGTTGCCAATTTATTGTCAAAATGCCCTGAATGTATTCTACAGATGAAAAAAAAACATTGATGCCTTTATGCACTCATATCATAAGAAACCATTTTCTGTAATGTAGATCAAAAAGAGAATCATAGGTAATAACATATTGCTTTCGGATAAAAGCTTATTCTATGAAACGATGCTCTCGCATATATATTTGATATTTAGAGACCGTACTAACTTATCATAGTTTCACAGATGATAAGTGTACATTGTAAAAGTGAAAAATTTACGTGAAAACCCTTTCGCGTTTTTGCCCTCTGAAATTATTTATATTTTTCTTTCGCGTTGACTTAGCACAAACGCAGCACTGAAAATCGCACAACTGATTTGAAAGAATCATCCATGCTGTGCGTTAAGTGGGGTGCTTTTGTATGAGTTCTTTCAGGGGACAAAATCATATATTCTTCCTAAAACAGATGGACTTACATGACTTTATCTATTTAAAACTGTGTATTGGTCATGTTCGTTTCAGTTTTTCTAGATATGATAGAAATTCTATAAATGAATACTGTTGTAACTTAACACTAGTAAAATAAAACACGTTTGCATAGATCGTTAGTGGATTGGTCTTCAATAGACACATTTTCTATAAGTATTTTAAATATGGATAAAAACAATAGAAATGTATCATTTGGATATTTTTATAAAATATTGCTTGAAATACAAAATGTTGATGAAGTTTTAGGCAATTAACAATGCATATTTCTATGATGAACAATAATATTTGGTCCAAGAACATTTTATTATCTACAAGAATCGAAACATGAATTTCACATTTGCCAACATCATCCATATATACTTCTTTCGGGAATTGCTATAATATCTGATACTAAATTCTATTACGGAATTATTTTAATATTGCATTACAAACCTTCCATTATAAACATTTCACTTTCATTTAATGAAACCATCACGTTATACCCATACAAAACTAGTATGTTTTTGAAAAATGTTAATAATTCAGATATTAAACACTTAGTTCAAAATGGAAACATTATATTTCAAACACCAGCTTATTGGAGGGAAAAGATCAATCAAAAGTGATTCAAAAATACTGTTGTATAAACATAGAAACGTATCATTAATTAATGTATTTTATTGTTTGTTTCCCTCTCGCAGTTATAAAATAGAATGAAATACAATGGGTATACATATTTGATAAATCAGAGAATGAATTCAAAAGTACGTTCCGACACCCGTTTTTTTTTGTTTTAACTTACGCTCTAGACAAAGTACAAAATAAAAGATAAACTATAAATAAATAAAACTAGGAATAAACTGGATGATTTTAATTAAGCAATTAACAAACAAGCATTTAACTTGGCCAACTTTTCCTTTTCATATATTTTGTCGATGCAATTCATTAGATTGTCGAAAAATATTTTGCATTAGCATTTTTTCGTGCAGATAGCTTCCGTTGTTTTTTGTCATATAATATTGTTTTAAATACATATATACGAATATAAGTAATAAATTTTACGCACTTTATGAAATTGAAAACTTTTTTCACCAACTTTTTCTAGTTTGACTACGTTTGTGGTGGTATGCAAGACTGTATCGGCAAAATCATTTTTTAACAAAACAAACATTTTTCAACTATCAAAATTGTCTTGTCTTCTAAACACATGCTTGTCCGACCTGAATAACATAGTTAAAATTTGAATCGTCAAACTGAACAAACTAGCTTAGTCTAATGATTTAAACATCGTTTTGAGTATCAATTTTAAACATTTATTAATGTACTGCAGGACGGCTTGACCTGAATAAATCTGATTTATAGAAATTTACTGTTCAAGCGCATTTTAAACAAATGTTAAAATGTAACTAATTTTTCAAGTATTCAATAAAATGGTATTGTAAATAATTCAGGTAAACAATTTCAATGACTTTTTTGACTCTAATACATTCAAGAATTAAAGAAAATTACGTAAAATAGATAAACAAGTCAATGCTATCCAAATGTGATTTGTCCATTTTATACAATGTTATTTCAATAATTACATTTGATGTTAGCTTATCTATTAAAGTATTGTGTTTAAATTGATTAAATCTTAATGAGAATGAAATGCTTATTAAATATAGTTTTATATGGTCAAGATTTATATCATTTAAAAATGACCGTATATAAAAACTTTGCTGAAAATTCTTTTATGTTGACGTGTCTCAAGATGTCAAGATGTGTATAATTTCGAAATTCATTATCATAAAATAAGACCAATATCAGGTAAGAAATATAATATTATAACATTATTTTGATCATGTCAATTTTTAATTCCTGATGCAGTCCTTACCTGTACACAGCACATATTACGCTTACCCCCTTTATCTGTCATACAGTTCTTCTATTTTTTCTGTCTTATCCCTCTTAAAACTGCAAGATCATTTCTAACTTGAGGCTATTGATCCTTGCCCAGTGAGATATCAACACACCACCAGTTCATTCAACCCGAGCAACGGTAGACGCGATGAAATGTGTTGTTAATTTGTTATCATGAAGAACGTGTACCTTACATTTTCATTTATAACAACTCTCAGAGGACTTACATTTGTACAATTTGTATCTAAGGCTTTCTTTCAAATAATGTTTTTTTCTGCTCCTAATGTTTTTCCTGCTCCTTGACAAAAAAAATCCATTTTGTATGGCATACGACACGGACACATTGTAAGCATTTTTCGTAGCGCATGTAATACAATATCTCAACTTAATGCCAAAGACTGACATAGAAATCTTTTTATCAAATATCAGGTATCTGAAAACAGCCTGTTTCTTATTCTACATAATTTGTCGCATAAAGAAGAAAATGACAAAAAAGACAAATTAAAATATTGCATGTTATGCTTTTAGGAGTTAATGTAAGATAAAACTTTACATTAATTTGTCAATGGCTATATGTCACATAGTGCAAATGTCTCAAGAATCATGACGCAATTCAGCTGACAAGCTTGTGGTGGGTTTGACATCATACTAAGATATTTTACAGGTATAGCTGTGGGAGTCAGTTAAACATATTGCTTTTGGATAAAAGCTTATACTATATGAAAGGAAGTTTTCAATTATATATTTGATATTAAGAGACCGTACTAAATTAACTTAGTTCATAGGTGAACAGAATACATTGTGAAATATTAACGTGAATTCCCTTTCGTTTTTTTCCTCTGAAATTATTTATATTTTTCTTTCAATGGAAATCGCACAATTTATTTGAAGGACTCACCTATACTTAGCGTTAAGTTGGGGTGCTTTTGTATGAGTTCTTTCAGGGGACAAACGCATAAATTCTACCTTAAAAAGATAGACTTACATGGATTTATCCCTTTAAAACTGCCTCTTTGTCATGTCCGTTAAAGTTTTTTCTAGATAGGATTGAAATTCTATAAATGAATACTGTTGTAACTTTACAATAGCAAAATGAAACACGTTTACATAGATCGTTAGTGGATTAGTCGTCAATAGACAAACTTTCCATACGTATTTCAAATATGGATAAAAACAATAAAAACAAAAGAAATGTATCATTTGTATATTCTTATAAAGTATTGCTTGAAATACAAAATGTTGATGAAGTTCTAAGCGATACAATGCATATTTCTATGATGAACAATAATATTTGGTTCAAGAACATTTTATTATCTACTATATGAAAATATGTAATATCGAAGCATGAATTTCACACTTGCCAACAACATCCATATATACTTCTTTCGGGAATTGCTATAATGTCTGATACTAAATTCTATTACGGAATTATTTATTGCATTACCCATTGTAAACATTTCAGTTTCATTTAATGAAACCATGGCGTTATACCCATACAAAACTAGTATGTTCTTGAAAAATGTTAATAATTCAGATATTAAACACTTAGTTCAAAATGGAAACATTATAATTCAAACAAAAGCTTATTAGAGGGCAAAGGTCAATCAATAGTGATCCAAAAATACTGTTGAATAAACATAGAATCGCATCATTTATTAATGTGTTTTATTGTTGGTTTCGCAACAAAATAGAACGGAATACAATGGATATACTTATTTGATAAATCAGAGAATGAATTTTAAGTTTAAAATTGTTCCACGTTCCGACACCCATTTTATGTTTTAACTTTCGCTTCAGGTAAAGTACAAGAATAAAAAAATATCATAAAATAAATTTAAAAAAAATATGATTTTAATCAAGCAATTAATAATAAAGCATTTAACTTGTTCAATAAACTCGAGATAATCATTCTTTTCTATATTTTGTCGATATAATTCATTACATTGAAAAACAACATTTTGCATAAGTATATTTTCATGCAGGCATTCCGTTGTTTTTGTGATATTTTTGATCTTTTTTAAAATACATATATGTGTATAAAATTATTTATAAGCAATCTAAAATAAAGTAATAAATAGCATAAAATTTCTGTTTTGCCTCGTCTGGTTTTGACAAATAATAAATTCTTACGCACTTTACAAAATTGAAGACTATTTCGACCAACTTTCTATATTTTAACTTCTTTTGTGATGGTATGCAAGAAAAGTATTCGATTGCATCGATACAAAAATAACTATCAAAATTGTCTTCTAGACACATGATTTTCTTTTCTATACCCATCCAAAAAAATACAGACACTGAATAACATAGTTGAAATTTGCATCGTTAAACTGAAAAGAATAGTATCTGAGTATCGATATTAAACATTTATTAATATACTAAAGGACGGCCATAAAAGTGATAAATACCAGAATACATCTGTAAATTTCTGTATAGAATTTAACTGTTCGAGCGAATTATTCATGTTTGATACAAATGTCAAAATGTTAACTAGTTTTTCAAATATTCAATAAAATAGTATTGAAAATAATTCAGGTAAACAATTTCAATGACTTTTTTTACTCTAATACATATACATTTAAGGACTAAAGAATATTATGTATAATAATATATAAACAAGTCAATGCTTTGCAAATGTGATTTGTCCATTCGATGCAATGCTATTCAAATACGAGTTATTGCTTTTGATGACAGCTTATCTATATAAGTACTACGTTTAAATCGATTTATTCTTAAGCAGAATGAAATGCTTATTAAAAACATTTTTATAAGGTCAGGATTTATACAATGTTATATATAAATAGTTAAACATTCTTTCATGTAGACCTGGTAAAATTTCGAAGCTCACCGTCACAAAATTATACCTATGTCAGATAAAAAATAGTGTTACTACGCCATTTTGACCTTTAAAATTTTTGATTCTCGATGCAATCCTACCCTTTACATACTACAGATTACGAGCATTTCCTTCATACTGTGCTTTCATTTTCTGTTTTACCCCTATTTAACCCGCAAGATTATTTCTAACTCTAAATGGAAATATCAACAGCACCACCAGTTCATTCAACCCGAGCAACGGTAGGCGCGATGAAATTTGTTGTTGTCAATTTGTTATCATGCGAAACGTTTACCTTACATTTCCATTAATTACAATTCTCCATGGAATTACATTATCTAAAGCTTTTTTTCAAATAATGTTTTTTTCTTCTCCTTGACCAAAAAATCCATGTTGTATAGCATACGACACGAACCTATTGTAGGCATTTTTGAGGCGCATGGAATATAATATCTTAACTTAATGCCATACACTGACACTGAAATCTTTTTATGAAATATCAGGTATCTTAGAACAGCTTGTTTCTTATTTTCCATTACTTGTCGCATAAAGAAGAAAATGACAAAAATGATATATTGAAATATTGCATGAAATGCTTTTAGGAGTTAATGCGAGATATATTGTTACATTAATTTGTCAATGGTTATACGTCACATGTTGCAAAAGTCTCAAGAATCATGACTCAATTAAGCTGACAAGCTCGTAGTGGGTGTGACATCATACTAAGACATTTTAACAGGTTTAAATTTTTCTCTACACCTGTGGGACCCATGCTTTGAATGACGTAATTTCGCTACCGTTATGAATTAAATTGAAAAAAAAACGCTTTCATTAAAAAAATAGTGTTGCATAAAATATATCTTTTCGTTATTTATTTTAAAACCTTAATAGATATACAATATGCTAGGTACCGAATCGTGCACAGTGGATACGTAGGGATTTTTATTTAGGATATTATACTTTCATTGCTTTAAATAAAAAATAGTCAGAAAGAAAGCTTACACAAATCAAAATATCGTTAAGGATTGCTAACAAATTAAATAAAACAGATCATGCTATTACAAAAGCAAAATGTAAATCCATAACCGTCGTTGTTGTTATCATAGTCAGGGCCTCTAGAGCAGTAATTATTAAAATTACTTCAACCAATGCAAGGTTCTGTGAGAATTACAAAGTATTGACTTCACTTAACAGAAACAATAACTATGTCAAATAACATTTTAAAAAAATATTTAAAAGCCTTGCGGTTTTTATCTATATCAATTTTGTGAAGATGTGCAATAATAATTTTGCCATGGCAAAATTTTGTTAACTATGACAAACTTTTCCCAAGAATACAGGAAAAAACTTGTAATTTTAATTAGGGACATACCTTTGGTGTTTTCCTAATTTTTTAAAGGAAATTCTTAAAAAGCAGAAAGACTATCGGACGTGTTATTTGAGTTAGGGCTTTTGGTCTTATATTGATGTAAAGAAGACTCTCCAAACTAATGAAGAAACGAATCGGCAACGGAAGCATACAGATGGTGTTTAAACGGTTGGCTCGACAAGTGTGGTAAAAGTTAATAATCTGAAAGTGTCGTACACAAATAGTTGCTAAACTTAATTTGTTTTATTTTCCTTTTTTTTGTGACATGGCTGTATTTCTAAGTCTGCCGTCAAAATTATGATGAAATGCGTTGTTTGTACTTAATACAGTATCATACAAACAATTTATACATTGTTAACTACAACTCTCTATCTTGTATTGTTTGGCTATATTGACCCAAAAGTGAAAAAAGTATTGCACCTTGCCACTGAGGCTAGAAAGTCAATTGTTATGCTGCTACATTTACAGTTATACTTATACCGTTAAAAAATGTAGTTCTCCGCGTTACATTGTATAGACGGAGAACTGTTGTCTCAACAGGTGCGATATCAAAACTGGTATAACCAGTTTGGTCACGTGATAAGAGTTATTGACCGTGCGTACGTACGATTAGTGGTCAGTTCTACAGAGACTCTCGCTTGGTACACGTCGTTAACTACATTGGGAAGTTTTTATCATGGATCGAGATACTCACGACATTATCAAGGACGTTGTAAAGGACACCGTGGAGGAAAGCAGGCAGTCTTTACTTCAAGAAATTGGGACGATGTTCGAAAAGATAAGTGAACAAAATAATTCTTCTCAATTTGCTAGAATAAGCAATTTAGTGGCATCATCTCAGCCAAAATTTAAAAGGAAAAGCAACGAAGAACAGTTTTGTCATAATAGTAAAGTTATGTTGAAGCTTAATGAAGCCGAGTCTAAGTTAGATAGCAGTAAAATTGAGGAGGCCAAAAGCAGTATTACAACAGGTTTGTGTTTAAAAAACAAAACAAAAACTTAATGAATTCTACTCTATTCCATTTATAAGAAGCATTTTCAATTTGCAAAAGCTTGGTTTTTATTCAGCAGTTTTAAATTCGGGATACAATTAATAAATTCGCTATTTTCTAATAGTTTTTACGTGTTTAATGTGTAGACCACGTGGTCTCGATACACGTGTCTTTTGTTATACTAGATGTGAATTGTTCTGTATGAAGATTGTTGGAATATGTTTATTTCTAAAGGAATAGTAATGCTAATAATGAGAATGATAATAAATATAATAATTATATGTCTATTATATTAAAAAAAAAAAAAAAAAAATCTTTGTTTCTTCTGTTTTCAAATTTATTTAGATTAATGTCTTTTGGACATAAGTACATAAGGACGTAAAAAGTAAAAAAAAAAGATAAAGATTTTATAAGCTGATGTGATCAATATAGATGTTTTTTGCATGGTTAGCAATGACTAATGTGGACTCGCCTTTTCTTTAACATGTATAAATAGGGGATTCATGTTTTATAGTATTACTGATATAGTTACATTATAAACTTGCATACGCATGTCACAGATTTAAAAACCCGTTGCGTTGGTAATGCGCAGGCCGATATGAATAAGTTAGAGTAGTATACAAATAAATTTAAATTTAGCTGATACTATAAATGGCGGTAGCACGGGTTTTTCATGTTTACTGATTGAGATATTTAAAGTATAGCAAACACAGGAAAACTACGAATGACAGTAATATATTTGTATTTGTTAGATACGGCTTCTTTTATTTTCAAAGTTTGTAAGAAAATTATGTATTATATCAATGTGATTTTCAGTTACAAGGATTATATCACAGGAGTTGATTATATTGACTCATAAAGATTATATTATTTATAGAAATTATGTTCAATATTTTTAGTAATAGGCATATTTTTCTTCCAGCCTTGGATATTTTGTCACACCGACAAAAGATGATACAGTTGGCGGATGCTAGTGAATTGGGGTGGAGAGTAGTTCATGAGTATGAACAAAATCCTCTAGCAGACGACAGCGATGATGAAAAGAAAATGTATAAAGCTGAAGTCAGGGCTGACAGGAAGTTCAAAGCTGAGAAAAATAAGAGGTCTAAAAAGTTTAGAACCAAGCCTTACACCAGGAGTGTACCTGCACGAGCTACAAGTCAATCCACTTCGCAGCAATTTGGTGTACAGAAACCAGGCTTATGTTTTTACTGTGGAAAGCCGGGTCACTGGAGAAAAGAATGTCCAGCAAATACTACAAATTTGAATAATAAGATGAGTACATTTTGTTTATTTAATAAACATTGCGATATGCTAGACAGTTATTCATTGAATCACAATTACAGGGAACAAATAAATAATGAGGCAATTAGTTGCGATTCGAACCAAAATGATTCAGAAAATGAAATCGTTGTATTTCCTAAAAAATGTTTAAGTCTTAATGTTTCTTCTGTGAATCACGGATATTGTTCTCAGCTGAACAATGAATGCTCAGTATCAGTAGCAGAGCATTTTGAGTCTAAAAAAGAAAAACTTAAATGTGTAATATCGCCAGTAGGAAGATTGAAGGCTCATGCTAGCAAATGGCGATCTATCAATGGCGATTCTTTCATTGTAGACGTTATAGAAAATGGTTACAAATTGCCATTTAGAAATATTCCTAGATATACACGTATTTTGCGATGCCAGTGGATCTGGTTATGGTGGTTACCTATATTTTCCGAACAATGAAGCTCAATTACATTCTAATATTCAAATGAGTGGAACATTGTTATCCCCGGAAGTGGATTGCATGTCGAATGTTATGTTGAAATCACCGATTTCTTCAGGTGTTTCCCCGGAAGTGGAAAAATGTATGCTAGATAATACAAAGAAAAGTATAGATATAGATACGAAAGTCACCGGAAGTTGGCTTTTTGAAGAACAGATTAAAAGTTCTTCTTAGCGTGATGTTGAGGCAGTGAATAGGGTTGTGAGAAGTCAGGCACAATTTCTCAAAAACAAAAATGTGAAAGTTTTTTCTGATAATCAAAATGTAAAATCGATTCTTTTGAACGGCAGTGTTAACGCAGAGCTTCAAAAAATTGCTTTAGGTTTCAATGATTTTTGTGAAGAAAATAATATCCATATTAGCCCGGAATGGATACCCAGAGAAAATAATCAGATATCAGATTATTTGAGTAGATGTCTTGATTCTGATGATTGGTCAATATCAGATCGTTGGTTCAGATATTTTGATTGTATTTGGGGAATACACACAATAGATAGGTTTTCTACTCATTATAACACTCATTGTGAAAGGTTTAACTCTAAGTGGTGGGTACCAGGAACGGAAGCTATAAATGCTTTGGATCAGTCCTGGAAAAATGATAATAATTGGTTAGTTCCGCCGCCTCGGCTAATAGTAGAGTGTATAAACAAAATTGTAAACGAAAATGCAAGTTGCACATTAATTATACCAAAGTGGAAATCTTCAGCTTTTTGGCCCTGCTTGTTTGATACAAAATGTAATTTTAAAACTTACATAAGAGATGTAGAGGTTTTACCAAAAAATGGAATAATACGTTCTGGTAAAGGTAATAATGGCGTGTTTGCACACACACCATTGCCGTTTTGTATGCTGGCACTCAAGATCAGGTTTTAGTTTGGAGTGCCAATATAGATATATTTTAATGAGACATGTACTGTATTCTATTTTACAGTACTTTATGAAGTTTATAATATTTGCCTTTTCGATTATAGGTGTTGACTTAAAACCTTCAATCAGGAGCATGATGAACAACGCAGGAGTGGACATTCAAAAACATCAAACTGTTATTGATCACATGGCAGGTTATATTGTACAATCCCGGGCAGTTTCTACTAGACAGAAATATATGAACTATTTCAAACATTTCGAAAAAATATTGTGTCAAAAATGGTTTTGTTTCCAAGCCAGCTTCATCTATAGTTGTAGCAATGTATTTAACAAACATGTTAGATCACGGAAAGTCGTACGGTGTTATTTCTTCTACCGTATATTCTATTAAATGGATGCATTCTTTGCATGATTATGTGGATCCTACTACGAATTCAATGGTTAAACATTTATTGGAAACAAGTAAACGAGAATGCTATAAACCTGTTAAAAAGAAAGATACAATAGATTCGGAAATGTTACAAACATTATGTGATAATTTTTCAGATTCCAGCGACGTGGTAACCTTAAGAGATCTGTCAATTATTCTTTTAGGTTTCGCTGGGTTTTTACGTTTCAACGAACTGAATTCTTTAATTTGTTCAGATATAACATTCAATGATGATCACTTAGTGATAAACATTCGTAAGAGCAAAACTGATGTGTATAGGCAAGGAAAATCTGTTCCGATTTGTAAGGTACTACTAATGCATGTCCTTTTAATATGCTTTAAAAAATATATGAGGGCAGCTTGTCTTGACGTAACCTGTAATGAATTTTTGTTTAGGCCATGTTTTAGGTCAAAGGGGGTATCGGCGCTTATAAAAAGTAATAAAAAGTTGTCTTACACACGAGTTAGGGAATGCATTTTGTCTAAATTAAACTTGGTAGCACCAAATTTAAATTTAGGTACACATTCTTTGAGAGCTAGTGGAGTTACAGTGGCCGCTTACTCAGGTGTGTCTGATATAATGTTTAAAGAGACATGGCCGTTGGAAAACTGATATAGCTAAGGACGGTTATATTGTTGATTCATTAGACAGTCGATTGTCAATTACAAAAAAGTTAAAGTTATAAGTATATTTTATAGATACTATTTTATAAACATATGAATAATTAATTGAATTTTAATGTTTTTCGTCTCAAGCTTTGTAATTTCTATACGTGTCTCGCCTTGCAGTTGTTGTTGTTGTTGTTTTGGATAGTGCCTGTTGAGACGATCCTGTATGTTTTGTGATTGATATTGTTACTGTGTTTGTACCACACTTACAAGAAATTATATATGTATAAAATCATGCAAATAAAACAATTTTCAAACATCAAAGAATATGTAAAATATGTACTGCAAATATTTGTGCACATTATATGTAATCAATAAATTATATGCATTCATTTCTTATTGAAAAATTTGACTTAGAATTTATAGAAAATAAATTTCTAATTACCTCCCTTAATTTACATAAAGTATTAAATTTGGTAATATCTTTATAAATAATGCTTATTGGAAGTTACAATATTGACAAATCATAATTTGAGCATAAAATGTCTCAGGTCAATATTGCCACACAATAGTACGGTCAGTTACATTAACTAAGGCCTTAAATGCATCTATTTAAAGCGCATTAATTAAATTTGTATAGTCTCAAGACTGACACGGAAATCTTTGCTATATCGTGTATCTGAGAACAGCTGGTTGCTTATTTTCCATTATTTGTCGCATACAGAATAAATGACAAAAATGATATATTGAAATATTGCATGTAATACTTTTAGGAGTTAATGTGAGATTATATTGTAACATTAATTTGTCAATGGTTATACGTCACATTTTGCGAATGTCTAAAGAGTTGGGACTCAATTGGAATGTCAAGATTTTAGTGGATTGACTTTGTTCTATGATTCATTTGCCAATACAATTGATATGCAGCTAAAATATTGATAGTTTCAGATATATTTAAACAAAATGTTGGAGTCACAGAACAGAATAAAAATTCTTTTTTTAACCTTCTTATTAAATGGTCTTATACAATCTTTTTTGGGCTTTTTCTTGGAATATGGGAAAATATCTGAACACGGAAATGATATCCTACTGCTTCTTTTCTAACAATTTGATTTTTCCATTGTGACTTTTTTATTTTATGAACTATTTATGTAAATGTAAAATGAATATGTACTTGTACAAATGTTGAATCTGTTCTGCTTATGCAGTGTCCAAATAGTATTTTAAGACAGCAACATATGTAAGTCTCTTACAATTCTATTTTAGAATGTGCAAATATATCTGTAAAAAATTTATGTATTGATGTTACGAATTATATAATGATGATACTTAAATAAAAGATTAAACTGTAACAAACAAGACCATTGTGTAAAAAAAATCCATTTAAGGAGGAGAAACAAATGAACTATGCGCAATATACTAAAATTGATAAATTAGCAAGTAAAACGACATGGCAATTTTAATTGTCAAGTAAAGCTGAAATGAAGATTGACTGTTATGATGGTGATTGACCAACAGGAGATATTGGTTAATATTTAGAATAAAAATATCAAATATTATGCTTTAAATATAAATAGACTGTCTCTGCCTTTATTGAGCATTACAGATCAATTCCGATGGATACTTACAGAAATTTTCTTGGGTCACGTGATTCATTTATCGTTCATGTGAAGTATATTAAAAATTGTAAGAAACTATGTCAAAATTTAAACTTACTTTGACTTTCCCCTGTTCACTTTATACTATATATATTTTGGATTGGCGTGTCACTTAAATTTTTAAACAAAAAATATCTGTGGTTCCGTATGTTGGTTTATTAATAGTTACCATTTTCTATTTATATGGGATAATAAAAAATCTTATGCACACAACAAATTCAGTTCCATTCTTAATAAGCAGCAGACATTCTTGCGATTAATTTAGATTACATAACGGTGCTAACTTAATCTGGAAAAAGAAATCTAAAAAATGCTAGAGAATTGTGTTTTTGTTTCTACGGACCATTTCACAATGTACTCAATGCTGTCTAGAATAGTGCTAGTTTGTTTATTTAGCTACATGACTACCTCTATTTCTATACATCAATATTGACGAAATGATTATTATCTCGTTAGAAAAAATATTTCATTTTGATGTCTGTAGATATTTTAGTCTAAATACGAAGTATTTATAAAGAGACAGATTATTTCAGAGTCACTTGAGTAGAAATAACTGCTTAGTCACTATTGTCATGTTTATCTATAAGGAGAAATCGATGCCCCAATAAAATTGAGTAATAGCAATAACTTGACAATTTGTTTGGCATTGGGACGATTTTGAACGGTGTGTCATGTAACCATTTGTCACAACTCCTCCGTCCGTCGGTTTACAGTTGGGATAGACCTCATACGGATCTTTAACATGTGATTTGAGGAAAACAATATTTGGTCTTCGGTACATTTGTTTTCAGGTTAAACATCTATATGTACGGGGCGATATATCAACAACTTTTTTTTTCCCGATCAGAACTAATTACTCATTGTCTTCTTATGTTGTGGTTTCGGTCTTCTTCATATGCCCATTCAGAATTATATCAATACACTTAACAATATAGTTTCGATCCATTAGTAACTTACTAAATTTCGAAGTATTGTTAGCTATGCATCTCGTAGCTCCAGCAGGTAGTGGTTTTGATCCCTGGTGTCGCTTTCAGTTTGTAACACTCGAGGTTAGCCAAAAGTATCTTTCCTCTTGTGGCGCCATATGACCTAAATTGTGTTGGTTTCGTGGTAAAACCAAACAAAAACAAAAAAAATCTATTTAAAAAAACAACATATGGCTATATATAGAAATCAGTTTTTGAAATTATCATTTTATGCGTTTCATAAAATTTGCTGCAAATACCTATCGTTTTTGACCTGTCGAAAAGGTTATGCTACATTGTATTTTATTTTAAAGTTTTATTTTTCCGAAGCGCTTAAATCCTTTGTCTAGCTAGAAGAAACTATCCCACTAGTTTCTTTCCTGGTCTTTTGGTCAGTTCAGAAACACAGCTTGACGTTATCACTTAATACA